CGGGCGGTCACGTCCGCCATGGCTGCAGCGGGAACGGGGCCCGGAACGGGGCCCGGAGCGGGAGCGGGGCCGGGAACAGGAGCGGGAACCGGAGCGGGCCCTGACGAGGCCGCGCCGCCGCCGCCGCCGCACCGGAAGCTCCCTCAGAATTTCCGGGTTAGGCGGAAACGCGCCGCGAGAACGCGGCTCCGCCCATCACAAGTTGTGATTGGTTGATTCCCGCTAAATCCCGCCCTACACGCCGGGACCTGCCTGTGATTGGCCGGGCCGCCAGCCCGCCACGTTTTGATTGACGTTTGTGCGCCTGAGGGCGCCTGAGGGCGGCGGGGCGGGGTAGAGGGCGGGGTCAGCGCGAAGTTTGCCGCTTGCTATTGGTGGGTTTTGTAAAAGCCACGCCCCCTTCTGGGACCACGCCCTTTTCCGGTGAGGGCACACGTGGTGGCCGCGGGGGGGGGACCCGACACCCCGAATTGTCCCCAAGGTCCGGGGGGGCACTGAGGGGGTCCAGGGCACTGGGGGGGTCTCTGGGCATTGGGGGGTCTCTGGGTATCGATGGCACCCTGGGCATTGGGGGGACCCTGGGTATTGGGGGTCTCTGGGCATTGGGGGGTTCCCGGGCACTGGGGGTCCCTGGGTATTGGGTGTCCATGGGCATTGGGGGTCCCTGGGCATTGGGGGGACCCTGGGTATTGGGGGTCTCTGGGTATTGAGGGCACCCTGGGCATTGGGGGGACCCTGGGTATTGGGGGTCTCTGGGTATTGAGGGCACCCTGGGTATTTGGGGGGTACCCGGGCACTGAGGGGTCCCTGGGCATTGGGGGTCTCTGGGCATTGGGGGTCCCTGGGCATTGGAGGTCCCTGGACACTGTGGGGGTCCCTGGGCATCGAGGGGTACCCGGGCACTGAGGGGTCCCTGGGCATTTGGGGGTCCCTCGGCATTGGGCGTCCCTGGGCATTTGGGGGTCCCTGGGCATTGGGGGGACCCTGGGCATTAGGGGTCTCTGGGCATTGGGGGTTTTCCAGGCACTGGGGGTCCATGGGTATTGGGGGTCCATGGGCATTGGGGGTCCCTGGGCATTTGGGGGACCCTGGGTATTGGGGGTCCATGGGCATTGGGGGTTCCTGGGCATTTGGGGGTCCCTGAGCATCAAGGGGTATCCAGGCACTGAGGGGTTCCTTGGCATTGGGGGTCCCTGGGCATCGAGGGGTCCCTGGACACTGGGGGTCCCTGGGCATTGGGGGGTACCCAGGCATTGGGGGGTCCCTGGGCACCGACGGGTCCCCGGGCATTTTGGGGTCCCAGAGTGCCCCCCAGGATTGTGTCCCCTGCATTTCGGGGTGGCGGGGACGCGGGCAGCCCCTCCCTGTCCCCGCTGGCTTTGGGGACGCAGCTCGGTGCCCGCTGCGGTGCCCTCGTTATCTCGGCCCCGTTAATTAGCGGAGCGCGGTGCCAGCGCCTGGAGAGGTGCCCGGCGGCCGTGCCAGCTTGGCCGTGCCCCGGCGGGGGTGGCACCGCGGGGCGCTTGTCCTGTCCCCGGAGGTGACACGGCTCTGCTGCCCACCCGGGGTTCGTGCTCATCCTCTCGGGGAGGGGATCCTGGCACCGGGGTGGCACTGGAGTGGCACTGGGATCTCACTGGGAATGGCACTGGAGTGGCACTGGGATCTCACTGAGGATGGCACCAGGGTGGCACTGGGAATGGCACTGGAGTGGCACTGGGACGGCAACAGTGGTGGCACTGTGAGCTAGGTTAACCCAGGCTGGGCTGAACCGGGTTAAACCAGGCTGGGCTGACCCGGTTAACCCAGGCTGGGCTGAGCCAAGCTGGGTTGAGCTGAGCCTGGTTAAGGTGGCCTGAACTGGGCTAAGGCCAACCGGGACACCCCAAACTGGGCTGAGCCCAACTGGGGCACCCCAAACTGGGCTGAGCCAGGCCAGTTGAGCTGAACTGGGATGAGCCCAACTGGGACACCCCAAACTGGGCTGAGCCAGGCCAGTGGGGCTGAACTGGGCTGAGCCCAACCGGGACACCCTGAACTGGGCTGAGCCCAACCAGGACACCCCAAACTGGGCTGAGCCCAACCGGGACACCCTGAACTGGGCTGAGCCAAACTGGGACACCCCAAAGTGGGCTGAGCCAGGCCAGTTGAGCTGAACTGGGCTGAGCCCAGTCAGAACACCCCAAACTGGGCTGAGCCCAACCGGGACACCCTGAACTGGGCTGCCTGCTTCTGGATCTGACCCGAGCCGAGCCGCGCTGGGCTGAGCCTGGTTGTCCCAACTGGTCCCAGTAAGACCCGAACGGTTCCGAGCCGAGCAGAGCCGAGCGCAGGCGGTTCCGACTGGCCCGGGGTGCGATTGGAGCCGAGCGGTCCCGAGCCAACCCGAGCGGTCCCGACCCGAGCGGTTCTGATCTGATCGGTCCCGATCCAAGTGGTTCCGATCTGACCCGAGCGGTCCCGACCCGACCCGAGCGGTTCCGATCCGACCCGACCCGACCCGAGCGGTCACGATCTGACCCGAGCGGTCCCGATCTGACCGGACCCGACCCGAGCGGTTCCGATCTGACCCGACCCGACCCGAGCGGCCCCGACCCGACCCGAGCGGTCCCGAGCCGAGCCCCGCGCCCGGCGGAGGGGCGGCCGTGACGTCACGGGGGGCGTGGCCCCGCTCCGCCGCTCCCGCCGCTCCCGCCGCCGCCCCCCCCGCGGCCCGGGCCCGCCCCCCGCCCCGCTCCGCCGCTCCGCCGCTCCGCCGCGCCCGGACCCCCGGGCCGCCCTCCGGGCCCCGCCGCCGCCGCGCCCTGAGGTGAGTGCAGCCCCCCGCCCCGCCCGGTATTGTTGTGGCGGAGCCGCGGGGGCGGCGGCAGCGGGAGGAGGAGGAGGAGGAGGCGCTTTGTTCCTCCCGGTACCGGGGATCGCCACCGGATCCCCTCCGCACCCTCCGCCCGTGGATGGGGGGGCCGGAATCGCCCCCCCCGCCGCCGCCGCCGCCGCTCGGGGCCGCCGGTGCAGCGGGGATCGACCCCCACGGTAATAACGGGAGCGGGGGGAGCGGGGATCCGCCACGGTAATAACGGGAGCGGGGATCCGCCACGGTAATAACGGGAGCGGGGGGAGCGGGGATCCCCCGCGGTAATAACGGGAGCGAGGGGTACCGGGATCCCCCCACGGTAATAACGGCACCGGGAGCGGGGATCCCGACCGGGAGCGGGGATCCGCCACGTTAATAACGGCACCGGGAGCGGGGGGAGCGGGGATCCCCCCCACGGTAATAACGGCACCGGGGGCGGGGGGTACCGGGATCCCCCCATGGGGGGAGCGGGGATCACCCCACGGTAATAACGGCACCGGGAGTGGGTGGGCGGCGGCGCCGGACCGTGGGGTGGCACCGCCTTGGGGACCCCCGGTGGCACCGCTTTGGGACCCCCGGGATGGCACCGCTCTGGGACCCCCGGGACACCGTGGCCGGCTGAGCGGGGCTGTCCCGGCTCCGGGGACCCGGCGGGGCCCGTGGCACCGTCGCCGTGCTTTGTCCCCGGTGCCGCGCCTGTTGCGAGCCCGGCTGTGCCTGTTGAGCCCCAGCCGTGCCCGCGGCAGCCTGGCCGTTCCTCTGGCACCCCGGGTGTGCCCAGGGCACCCCAAATGTCCCCCGGGGCACCCCAGATGTGTCCCTGGCACCCCAAATGTCCCCTGGGGCACCCCAGATGTGCCCAGGGCACCCCAAATGTCCCCCGGGGCACCCCAGATGTGTCCCTGGCACCCCAGCCTTGCCCTTGGCACCCCAGATGTGCCTGTTGCACCCCAGATGTGGCTGTCACATCCCAGCTGTGTTTGTGGCACCCCAACTATGCCCTTGGCCCCCCAGCTGTGCCGGTGGCAGCCCAGATGTGTCTCTGGCACCCCAAATGTCCCCTGTGCCCCCCAGATGTGTCTCTGGCACCCCAGATGTCCCCTGTGCCCCCCCAGATGTGTCTCTGGCACCCCAGATGTCCCCTGTGCCCCCCCAGATGTGTCCCTGGCAGCCCAGATGTGCTTGTGACACCCCAGCCGTGCCCGTGGCACCCCAGCCGTGCCCGTGCCAGCCCGGCCGGGGTGTCCCCCATTCCCACGGCCCTTCCCGTGCCCCCACCCTGCCGGAAATCCTTCCCGAGCCGTCACCGGGGCCCCCCCGAGCCCCCCCAAACTTCCTGCTTCCCGCCGGCCGGCCCAGAACAATCCCCGGCCGCATCCTGCCCGCCCCGGGGGCACCTCGGGGGCAGCCCCGGGGGCACCGGGGGGTCCCGGGCAGGACGTGCCAAACAGCCGGGCCACCCCCCCCCCACCGTTATCCCACCCCCAGCGTTTCCTGCTCCGCGCCTCGGGGTGTCCCACGGGGCGTGGGGGGACTCGTGACACCCTTGTGCCCGCCCGCGTGCCGCCGCCGCTGCCCCGTGGCACCGACGGGCCCCGGCGTGGCCGTGTCCCCTGGCAGGGACCCCGTGGCGTGCCCGGCGCCGTGCCCCCGGTGCCATGGCTGCTGTCGTCGCCCCGCTGCTGCTGGCCCTGGCCGCCGCTGCCGCGGGCACGCCGGGGGCCTCGTGGAGTGCTGTGCCCAGGAGGACTGTGCCCTACGAGGGTGAGTGCCAGGGGGTCGGGGGGCTGCTGGGGTGGCATGTGGGGTGACACGGCGCCTGGTGGCTGCTGGCACCGCCTCGGGTGGCTTTTGTCCCTCCACACCCACGGGGCTTTGTTGGTCAGCACTGCGGGGTGGGTGGGTGTCCCCAAAATTGGGTTGTGGGGGGACAGTGTCCCCAAAATTGGGCTGTGGGGGGACAGTGTCCCCAAAATTGGGCTGAGAGGGGACAGTGTCCCCAAAATTGGGCTGTGAGGGCACAGTGTCCCCAAAATTGGGCTGTGGGGGGGACAGTGTCCCCAAAATTGGGCTGTGAGGGCACAGTGTCCCCAAAATTGGGCTGTGAGGGGACAGTGTCCCCAAAATTGGGCTGTGGGAGGGCACAGTGTCCCCAATATTGGGCTGTGCAGGGACAGTGTCCCCAAAATTGGGCTGTGGGGGGACAGTGTCCCCAAAATTGGGCTGTGGGGGGACATGTGCCAGGTGTGACATCCCCAGTCCTGTGCCACTGCCCCATGCTGTGTTCCTGTCCCCAACCTCTCTGCCACGTCCTCTGCTCATGTCCCTGCTCTGTCCCTATCCCAGTGCCCTGTCCCTTGTCCCCATCCCTGTATCGTGTCCCCTGTCCCATCCCTGTCCCTTGTCCCCATCCCAGTGCCCTGTCCCCTGTCCCCATCCCTGTGCTGTGTCCCCTGCCCCATCCCAGTGCCCTGTCCCTTGTCCCCATCCCTGTATCGTGTCCCCTGTCCCATCCCTGTCCCTTGTCCCCATCCCTGTATCGTGTCCCCTGTCCCATCCCTGTCCCCTGTCCCCATCCCAGTGCCCTGTCCTCTGTCCCCATCCCTGTATCGTGTCCCCTGTCCCATCCCTGTCCCCATCCCAGTGCCAGCTCCTTTGTCCTGTCCCTCCTCCGTGTCCCCTGTGTCCCCGCCCTGCCACCACCCTGTCCCATCCGCCTGCCGTGTCCCTTGTCCCATCCCTCTGCCGTTTCCTGTCCCCACGCCCTGCCATCATCCTGTCCTGTCCCTCTGCCATGTCCTGTGTCCCTGTCCTGTCCCTCTGCCATGTCCCGTGTCCCTGTCCCCATCCCTCTGCCATGTCCTGTGTCCCTGTCCTGTCCCTCTGCCATGTCCCGTGTCCCTGTCCCCATCCCTCTGCCATGTCCCGTGTCCCCTGTCCTGTCCCTCTGCCATGTCCCGTGTCCCCTGTCCCCGTCCCTCTGCCACGTGCCCCTGCCCTGCCAGCGCCCCGAGGTTCTGTCCCGTGCCAGCAGCCGGTGTCCCTGCCCTGTGCTGTCACCCTGTGTCCCCATGCCGTGCCAGCTCCAGTGTCCCTGTCCCCCTGCCATGCCCTGTGTCCCCATTCCCCTGTCCCCATGTGGTGGTGGCAGTGTCCCCTGTCCTCGCCTTGTTCCATGCCACTGTCCCCGTGCCATGTCCCCTGTCCCCAACCTTTCCTGTGCCATGTCCCCTGTCCCCAACCTTTCCTGTGCCACTGTCCCCGTGCCATGTCCCCTGTCCCCACACCCTTACTGTGCCACTGTCCCCGTGCCATGTCCCCTGTCCCCATTCCTTTCCTGTGCCACTGTCCCCTGTCCCCGCACCCTTACTGTGCCACTGTCCCCGTGCCATGTCCCCTGTCCCCAACCTTTCCTGTGCCATGTCCCCTGTCCCCACACCCTTACTGTGCCACTGTCCCTGTGCCATGTCCCCATGTCCCCACATCTTTCCGGTGCCACTGTCCCTGTGCCACTGTCCCCTGTCCCCACACCTTTACTGTGCCACTGTCCCCTGTCCCTATTCCTTTCCTGTGCCGTGTCCCCTGTCCCCACACCCTTACTGTGCCACTGTCCCCGTGCCATGTCCCCTGTCCCCATTCCTTTCCTGTGCCATGTCCCCTGTCCCCCCGCCCGGGACCCCACCCTCAGCAGTGCCCCTGTCCCCGTGCTGCCCCCGTGCCGTGCCAGCCCCTGTCCCTGTCCCCGCCCGGGGCCCTGGCGCTGTCCCCTCAATGGCTCCTTTCTGCCGAGCCCGGGGGTGGCCGGGGGGCACGGGGGGGGCGCGGGGTCCCTGCAAAGGCCACTGTGTTCGGTGACAAAGGGACCTTTGTGTGCCACGGGGCCGGGGGTGGCCGGCGGGGGCGGGGGGTGCCCCTGGGGGTCCCTGCTCTGGGTCCCCGTGTCCCCACAGAGCCGTGGAGGAGGGGGGTACCCGCATGGTGTCCCCACAGAGCTGCATGGCGGGGTCCTCATGTCCCCTCAGAGCTCTGGGGTCCCAGCCCGGTGTCCCCACAGAGCTGTGGGTGGGATCTGACAGGGGTTGGGGGGTGCTGTGGGGTCCCAGCCCGCTGTCCCCGCAGTCTGTGGGGTCCCAGCCCATGTCCCAGCCCGTGTCCCGGTGTCCCCACAGTCCCTGGTGTCCCAGCCCGTGTCCCCTGTCCCCACAGTCTGTGGTGTCCCCACAGTTTGCATTATCCCAGCCCAGTTTCCCTTGTCCCCTCAGAGCTCTGGGGTCCCAGCCCATGTCCCCACAAAGCCGTGGGTGGGATCTGACAGGGGTTGGGGGGTGCTGTGGGGTCCCAGCCCGCTGTCCCTGTGTCCCCGCAGTCCCTGGTGTCCCAGCCCATTGTCCCTGTCCCCGCAGTCCTTGGTGTCCCAGCCCGTGTCCCAGCCCGTGTCCTGGTGTCCCCACAGTCCGTGGTGTTCCAGCCCGTGTCCCTGTCCCCGCAGTCCCTGGTGTCCCAGCCCGTGTCCCAGCCTGTGTCCCGGTGTCCCCGCAGTCCCTGGTGTCCCAGCCCATTGTCCCAGTGTCCCTGCAGTCCCTGGTGTCCCAGCCCGTGTCCCAGCCCGTGTCCCAGCCCGTGTCCCGGTGTCCCAGCCCGTGTCCCAGCCCGTGTCCCTGTCCCCGCAGAGCTGCAGGACACCGCCCGCCGTTTCTCCCAGGGCGGGGTCTCTCACTACTTGACGCTGACGCTGGACGAGGCCGAGGCGCTGCTCTACGTGGGTGCCCGCGAGGCCGTGTTCGCCCTGGCCACGGGCACCGTGGAGCTCAAGGCGGCGGTGAGGACCCCAAAAGCGGGCAGGGTTTGGGGTGGGGGGTGCCCTGCCAGCCCCTGACCCCTGTGCCACCCCCAGATCTCCTGGGAGGCGCCCGTGGAGAAGAAGGCGGAGTGTGTGCAGAAGGGCAAGAACAACCAGGTGGGCACGGGGCGCTGGGGGGCTTTGGGGCACCGTGCCAGCTCCAGGGGCCTGTCCCTGTGTCCCTGTGCCATGTTCTGTGTCCCTGTGCCATG